AGGTATCGCTAATTAGCCAAAAGTTCGTTAGCAGATATCTTGCTAATTAGGAGGCCTAGAGAAAAAATTTTTCATTTCTGATCATTTTTCATGGGTCCCAACAACATACAAAAATTTGAACAAATTCCGAGAGATTGAGGTTTTTTTTTGGTTGATTTGACATGGAATTACCCTATTGGAGAAACTGGCAGTATTAAAAAGAATTACACATCAATGGGCTCCTACTGTATACAGTAACAATGCTGTTATAGGATGACAAAAATTTAGTTGAAGTCCCATACATACAGTATAGAATGGTAATTAAATTACAGTAGAATAACATTCCTTACCTAAAGTATTAGTGAAGATCAGTACTGTATTAGCCAGGTTCAAAGCAGAAAACCTTTGTAAGAAAGAATAATCCTTCATGACTACGCAAGCATGCACTTCCCTGTACAGATGTTCCATATTTTGGTAATTGAGTAATTTTGCAGTTTTGTGTTTATTCAATTTTATTTTTATCTCTTCCTCAGATTTGACAACTATTCACTACCAATGAAGGTGGATGGAGTGTCTGTAAACCTTTGCCTTTTTAATATGTCAGGTATGGAGGGTAGGTTACGACCTCTTTCTTATCCACAAGTAAGTTCATCATTTTACTCAAAGGTTTGTATGGCAGACTCAGTGTTGCCCTCCAGGTTCTTAATTCATCACATTACTGTGAAGCGTAGTACTCCTGTCTTATGAAACTTGATATTATTATTACCTGTATTCCAATGGCGTGTTTGCATAAGGAGAAATAATACGAATCGATGTTTGCCCTACTTGATGTGTTATACTATAGTACTGAATCCTAGGTACATTGCCAAATGCTACCGAAAAAAATCTTGCAAGTGATTTGGGTGGGGATCAAACCTACGACCTCCAGAACATGCCTGGTGCCTTAACCACTCAACCACTTGATATTATTCCTAAACAGTTGTTTAGGAATGTTCATATTGTACAGTTGTATATTGAATATGTATGTAAATATTACTGAGTATAATATTATTTATTGTAATAATTATATAGTTATTTTAATTGATAATATAATTTGCTTTCATTTCAGACTGACATCTTCCTGGTCTGCTTCAGCGTAGTTGGACAATCATCATATGCTAATGTACAAACAATATGGCATCCAGAACTGGCCCACCATGCACCAGGAGTTCCATATGTGCTTGTTGGTAAGCCCTAATTTGTTGTTTTAATATAAAACATTAAAAAAATAGTCTACTTGTTAAAAATTGATATCATCATCTTCATCATTAGCATCATAATTATTTAATTTTTATTATTATAATTTTCCTTTTATTATTCAATAACTATGGTTGAATGTGTTATGGACCTTTCTGGAGTGTCAGAACAACTGACTGATCAGAACAGAGCCAGAAACACGTGTTCTAAAAACACACAAGTGTACATAATAATAATATGTACAGTAGGTTTTATATAGCGCTCTATATAACTAAGGCTTTTCCACATTATTACCCCAGTCATTGGAACGATGCCTATAGAGCGACGTTCCGCAAACTATGGTCCGCGGCCCGAATTTGAAACATTTTTACAGGTCTGTGAAGCCGTCTGGAAATTGAAAAAAAAGAAAACAAAATAACAAAGAGACCTTCCATCATGGAGAAAATAGTTTATAATAAAGCCGCTTCATAGTTACAGCGAATGCGTCGCTTGCACACGCTGCTAAAGTGTCAGGTGATGCGTGCTATTTGAGATAAGCGGTTTTTGTGTCTATGCCGCCTCAGGAGCTAGTGTTATCGTCTAGTATTAACCCTGTAAGATCGAGTAAGTCTGGTATGGAGGAATGATGGGATGAGTCATGAGCTAAAGCTAAAGATAAATATAAGACCTGTCCTAGAAAGATCACTACAGTAAACAACACCACACGTTTCTTGATAACCGAATGCCTATGTGGACATAATACTTTATTACTAAACATAATACCTGTATAGTAAGGTAGTTTTTCAAAGTTGCGGAGTAACAGATTGTGGGTAAAAGTTTTTAGAAGGAAAAGCTATGACGCGTGTGGCTGAATTGTGTTTGGTTGAATCATGGTAGAAAAAAAAATCAACAATTGTGATGGTGGGGGGGGGGGAACACAAATGTACGGTATTATTTATTTAATAAAATAATATTTAATTTGTATACAATGAAATTTTATCACTGAGAAAACAGATAATGATGTCAAAATATTGTATATACATGGAAGCTTCATGATCAAATGTTATTGCCAGGATTTGGTACTGTTGAACCTTGGCGCAGCTGGGCTGCTGGGCCACGGCTTGGTGTCTGGAATCGTAAATACTGTAGGCCGTGAAGTAAAAAGTTTGCGGAACGCTGCTATAGAGGATATGCCATAGGTTGCTCTATAAAATATTTCAGCGCATTTTGCACTTAACCTCCTTAGGTACCCACTTATACTCCTGGGTGGAGAGAAGCAATGCAGATAAAGTGCCTTGCTCAAGGACACAAGCAAAATGCACAGCGAGGGATTGAAACATACATACGCTGTCATTTTGTGGAACCTCAGCAGTAATATTTAATGGCCCTGTCACACCTTGACGATTTAGTCATCATATGCCAAACGTATCAAAATTTCTCTAAAACGCTGGCATACGCTGAACTATCGATGCTTTTTTAAATTTTGGGTGCATTCATTGCGTATTCATAATGTATTGGACGTATGAATAACATATTAGTAAATTATATTTAACTTACACGAACGAATGCTTAGCATGTTGCTAGCATTCACAACTTATGCCCAGCGACCTTATGCACAGCGTGCGGCAACGTATCACCGATTATCATGTGACATAGCCTCTAAAAAGGCTGCTGCTCGTCGATTCAAATGATAACCACACTAGACATCGCAGTATCAACATCACCGTATTGACATCACTTCATTTTAATATACCTATTCCCCTAAACGCTGCCAATACGCCATTATACGATAACTGTAAGCTAGAAACGTGTTCAGTAAGTTTTGTGGTCGTGTGCCTGGAACTTGTCAAATACGTCTACATACATCAATATATATTGGAGATAAGTTCATTATAAGTTAGATATAAGTTTGAAGCACGTTACTCATAGGTTAGAAATACGTTTTACCTTTTGAGTACTTTACAAGTAAAGTGTGTCAATGATTGCTTAACTTACCTACAACGTTTGTGGCATACGTCAAAAAGTTTTGTGCATGCGCTAAACTTTCCGATGTACTCGCTGTACTAAGACGTATACCAGCGTGCTTCAGCGTGCTCTTAACTTATACGAAACTTACCAATAACATATTCGATGTACGCCAGCGTATTCGCCATTTTTTTCATACGTCGGCATACGCTGGCTAAATCGTCAAGGTGTGACATTGCCATAGGAACAGGACTTAGTGGAAAATGTTCATTATCATCTTTACATACTTATTGTAATGCATTAATTTATGTCGATTCTTATTCTTGTCTTTAAACCAAATTTTCTTTTTTTAGGTACAAAAGTAGATCTCAGAGAAGATAAAGAGGTGATCAATGAATTGAATAGCAAAGGGAAGAAAGTGTACAGTAAGGAGGACGGAGAAACACTTGCTAATAAAATTGGTGCAGCTAAATATATGGAATGCTCAGCCCTAACAGAGAGGGGCTTGAAAATGGTAAGATACTGCTGCATTAGAGGATACCCTTTGCCTTACTTAGAGAGACCAGCATAATTGGCTGTACTCGCAAAAAGACGTGAGACACTGGGGTGGGTCCAGATATTTGCAGGAGGGGGTGCAGAAATAAGGGAACTCCTGTATAAATAACATAAGTTTAAATTACCTTGGAAACCGTCTTGTCACCCTTGTCATAATGCTTAATATTTATAATTTCAGGTTTTTGAAGAAGCTGTACGCATTGCATTATATCCACCTCCTATCAAAGATGGCAAGAGAAAAAGGTGTCGAATTATCTGATTTGTCTTTATGAAAAATTCTAAAAACGTAACCATGTTTTCCCCAGTTTCATATTCCTAGCGACAGTAAGATGTTTCCGATCATTAGTGTTTTTATTGTGCTTTAGATTAATACTAGGATCATATTTAATATGATAATCCTTCGATATGTAATTTTTTTGTTTTTTTTGCTGCCAATAATACATTGTCATTTGGTATTGGATTGTGTTGGCCCTTGAAAACATACCTAGGGAGATATTACTGTTTATAATCATGTAGTTTCTTGCTTAGAATTGTGCTTCTCCACAATTTGTGTTCGTACTACCAAAGAATATAGATAAGGGAAATATTTCCATTCTATGGATTTTTTCAAATTATCAGTTAAAGAATCTGATGTTAACAGAAGATCTATAATTGAATTAATTAACCTGTTACAGCAATTTATACCAACAACTGCATACACACAAATTGTACTAGAATACTAGAGTGGTAACTAGGCAAAGTGGCGAAATTTGTTTAGGCCCCATAAAAAAAATGATTAGTTTATCATCCCCGCGCGCATCTCTTTTGACGAAATCGCGATTTTTTTTTTTTTTTTTTTTTACTAGATTTTTTTCATTGAAAAAAACGATCGTTTGTTCGTCAAAAACAAATTTTAAGGCTGGTGAATGATGATTTTCGATCTTTAGAGTAGTCGCCAAGTAACAATATCTATTTATAGGCGATCTTTTTCATACTGCGCATGTCCACAAAGAAAGAGAGATATGACGTTCGTTGACGACGAA